CTCTCTCTCTCTCTCTCTCTCTCTCTCTCTCTCTCTCTCTCTCTCTCTCTCTCTCCCGCCCTGCTATCCCGCTCCAGCTATCCGGCTTCTCGCTCTCTCTGCAAGGGGCAAAATGCAAAGATGACCTGGGCCACTAGGGGTAAAACGAAAATACATAGGGCCTGGGAAAAGTTGGCAAGTACTGGGACATGTTGCAAAGATGGGCAGTACCCGGTAGGGGTATTTTGCAAAGTTGACAGGTCCAATCGACAGCAGGGCCATTTCGCAAAATACTTCTTGTGTCAGAGGGGTATTCCGCTCTACCCACATCTCTTAGGGGCATTTTGGCATATATCTCAACTTATAGGGGTATTTTGCAAATTATCCCTTCATTTATTATTAATTTTTTCATTTTTATGTGGCCCGATGGACCATGGGTCAGATATTAAACTGATTAGATTTTAGAACAGATACTACACTTGATCTTTAGCCCAAAGGCCAGTGAGCGATTTTAGAACAGATACTACACTTGATCTTTATACCTTCATGACTTTCTGAAAAGTTCATTGTTTTGGCACTTCAGAAGGCAGAGAGTAACTGCGTGTTTTGACGTGCGCATTGTTGATGCTATTGACGGCGTGTTTTCACTTGCGCATTGTTGTTGATGCCCTTGTCCTGCTCGTAAAGGCGGGCAATCAATCTGTACTCTCGCTTTCGTGTCATCGTGTTGGTCGTCGTTTTTTGTTGCCGTAGTTGTTAATTGTTTGCTGTGTCTACTCGCGAGTTGCAACCCATACGAGGGCTGATTTGGAAATTCCCTTTTATTTTCTTGGTTTTCATGTTGCGTTTGTCGGTGGCGTGCACTTTGTCCACTTCTACGTTTTTTCCTTGCACCGCTTTGTGTCCCTTTTCCCCTTTCTTCCGGGTGGTGTCTGTTTTGTCTAGCGTGCTATTTCAAGTGCAGGTGAGGCGATGGATGATTGGGCGGATCCGCCGGGCACTTCCAGCTTGGCTGCACGTGGGAAGCTGCCCTGCGGCGGTTTCCAGTGCAACAACAGCAGCGGCCTCTGCCTCTGATGTGGCTGTCTTGTCTGTTATTGAAATCAGTCTCCTTTCGTCACTTCCTGTTCTGGCTTTCCCTCCCGTTTCCCTAGTCCATAAACAAAGTGACAGCGGTGTGCGGCTGTCCGACCCTTGCTTTCAGCAGCCAAGGCAAGAGGGTCTAGGAGGCAAGGAGAGCACGTAGGGGACAGGTAGTAGTTAGAGTGCCCTGGGTGCTGAACATGAAGAGGAGTAAGCGGAGGAGGAGGAGTGCCGTCCGAACAGGCTAGTCGGAGCAGGAAGAGGAGTAGGTAGAGTAAGTGGTGGAGGACGACGCATGAGGAGCACACTCTGAGACATCCTTCAAGAAGACTTAGTGGAGGTGAGGCAGGGCTGTCAGTGACCTGTCCATACTCTATGCCTGAGAGTACGCAAAAACTATACCCCATTTAGCCTCCCTACCCCGCATAGGTGACCTGGCTCTCGTCAACATCAACAATCAACATCCAGCCTAACCTAACCTTTATTCAGGGCTACCCTAGATGGCCTATTCCCTCCCCTTTTCCGGCCCACGATACTTTGGCCGGAGATCGAAAGGGACCCACAGATAGCATGCGGTTGCCCCTAACATTGCGCCCGCAGTTGGGCCCATAGTGCCAGCCTCCACGTGCTGTGTTCTGACACTGACATGATGAAGCGGGCACTGAGACTGATAGTAACTGCAACCCAGCTGCCGCAGCGTCATCGGCTTTTGATGGCTGTGGCAGGAGCTGGCGGAACAGCTACGGTGATGACAGCCGCAGCTGTGGGTCTTCTGCCGGAGAAGCCGATGCAATTGCCTGCTGACATGGATGTCGTGCTGGCAAAGCGGACGCTTGCTGCGAGCAAGGTCTGGCAATCAGGCCATGGCATTATTCGTGCAACAAGGGCGGCGTGCACATTTGCTAGCAACTCCTTGGATTACAAGTACTCATTGCGGAATCTAGAGAAAGGATCTCCTGAGTACGACAAGGTGCGTTCAAAAGTGCATGACCGTGCTGCGCGGCGTATTCTCTCGTTATGTGAATCCAATCGCGGTATATACGTTAAGGCCGGGCAGTTCATCGCATCCGTTCCGGGAATGCCGATGGAATTCAGGACAACACTCTCTGTTCTGCAGGACAAGGCGAAACATTTACCGTTCTCGGCGATTGACAAGGTGTTTGAAGAGGAGTTTGGGAAAAGCGCGATGGAAATTTTTGACCAATTTGAAGAGGAACCCATCGCTGCGGCGTCCCTCGCACAAGTTCATAAGGCGGCGATGGCGGATGGTCGTGAAGTTGCTGTTAAGGTACAATACCCTTTATTGGACCTCCAGGTGGCAATGGACGTACAGACGATGACATTGTTGTCAAAGGGGGTCACGATACTGTTCCCCAACTTCCAATTCGAGTGGCTTGTCGCCGAATTCTCAAAGAATTTGGAGAAGGAACTAGACTTCTTGCAGGAAGCAAGGAACGCGGAGCGAGTCGCAAAGAGCCTTCCGAAGAAGACCATGACGGTCCCAAAGATTGAAAGAGATCTTACGACGTCGAGGATCTTGACGATGGAGTATATTCATGGAATCAAGGTGGATGACGTGGATTCTCTGACGAGAGCAGGCATCGATTCAGCGACGGTGGCAGAAACTTTGATCGAAGCATTTGCCGACATGGTTTTCCAACAGGGATTCGTGCACGGAGATCCGCATCCGGGAAACATTCTTGTCCGTCCACTCGGCGGCGTTGTCGGGGGGGGGAAGGAGCGGCGACGGGGAACGAGTCCAACCAGGTTTGAACTCGTTTTGCTGGACCATGGGCTGTACCACGAGCTGAACGAGTTCTTTCGGGTGAATTACTGCAGGCTGTGGAAATCTCTGATCTGGTTCGACGAACACGAGCTAAAGGTCGCTAGCGATGCCCTCGGTGCCGGAGAGCACTTCAAGTTCTTCCCAGTTCTTTTTACGGGGCGCTATTTCAGCAGCAAGAGTACTCTCGGTGCGGGTCTCTCCGATGACGAAAAGGCGAAGCTAAGGAAAGAGCTGAAGGATTTCTCGCTCGCGTACATCGTGAGTTGGTTCGAAAAATTGCCGCGCGAAATGGTCGTTGTTCTTCGAGTCGAGGGTTTGATCCGCCAAGTGGCAAGGCGTTTGGGTATTGTACCGAGGCGACGACTGGTGATAAATGCGAAGTATGCCGCGAAGGGAATCCTTGAGTCAGAGATACGGCAGCGAAGGCTATTGTCGTGGGCGTCGATGAGAGCTACCCTGCAGTTTACGAGATTGATGCTCGTTCTTCGGACCACGGACTTCGTCATTCGCGCCAAAGAATTCTATTTAAGGTTGTTGGATACCGTTGCTCATTGCCTACATCACATAGAGATGGTTGGAAAACAGCATGTAATGCCAATCGCCGCCGCAGTTCGGTTCTGAAGTCTATCTAGGCCTTGTTGGCCACTCCACAAGGCCTGGATATCACATTTCTCTCTTTCGTCTTCCATCCCTTATATTTGGTCTGCAATTTCATGTGTAACACTATTACGTGAATGTGCCGAGCACAAGTCACATCCCGGAAGCAATAAAGCTGTGCAAAGCAAGGAGATGCCTCCAACTGGAATGCACAACCACCTCCACCACCGCTACTATGACTGGTAGTGGTAATCTGTGACACCCACTGTCTTCTTCGAATGGAACACAACGTCATTCCATGTGCATCTGACCTGAAAATGCCTCTCACTACGGATAGAATAACCCTGCATTCCATTCGTGGCGAAGGTATGATGAGTAAATAGATGACGGCTAATCACAGTTGATCATTTTACTACCTGTAGCTGCCAACTGGCATTAGCATGAGTATATGCCAAAACAAACAACAACCAAAAAAAAAAAAAAAAAAAAAAAAAAAGCACGAGTATATGGCAATATGCCACAAAAAGAGGCGGTGGGGCCGGAGAAGGATGAGCACATGCCCTTTGGTAAATTTGGTTACATCTGGCGTGGCTGGATGACAGTTTCTCTGTGCGTAGGGAAGCACTTGACATACAGAGGAAGGGGCTACCGTCTTCACCCGAATATAATGCCCGGGCATTATAGCTGTATTTGGGACAGCTGTCAGTACAGATGCAGCGATAATGACCGGGCGTTCTATCCAGGGGAAGACTGTACGGATGACGGTGGTGAACCAGATGGGGCGGCGTGAGGTCCAACTCCGCCTCAGTTTTAACTCTTGCATGTCTGCGTCAGTTTTTTCAGCATTGGCATTGGTATGCATCAGGGAGGGGGAAGAATGATCTGTTTCGTAACTGTTGTGTTGTCGGAACAAATTGAGGGTTTTTCAAATCTGATTTTCTAGTTTTTGTCCCCCCCCACCCCACCCCCTCCCTCCCAGTGAAACAGCATCAGGATCAATCGAGGTCTCAACCCTTCACTTCACCGGTTCAGGGTTCAGGGCTGAGGAAACCCTAACCCCTAAACCCTAAACCTTTAACCCTGAACCCTAAACCTTTAACCTTAAACCTTTAACCCTTAGCCCTAAACCCTAAACCCTAAACCTTTAACCCTGAACCCTAAACCTATGGTTCTCGGTAAAAAGGTTTTCTGTGCCAGGCTTAGGAGTAAAAGGGATAGACTGCAAGCAAAAGAGGTCGAGGACTTTTCGCAGACGTTATGTCGCCCGGATAGATTTCACAGTTTGTCCTTCAATGCTTCGAACGATTTCTCTTCTGCTCTGCGGGCCCGGCGTTGCCCGCACCTGTAGTCACACCCTGACATGCAGTAGGCCTAATCTGTGTGCGCGAGGTATGATAATGCATCAGGTCTGCCGGAGGTCAGGTGCATGCATGTGTGATGCAGGTCTGGTCCACGGCTAGAGCAGGTGTAATCCAGGTGTAACCCAGTTGCGATCCAGGTGTGATCCAGGCGTGATCCAGGCGTGATCCAGGCATGATCCAGGTGTGATCCATGTCTAATGCGGGTCTGTCCGGTGTTGAATTGTATGGTGCACGTCTGGTCCAGGTATAATGCAGGTGTGATCCAGGTCTTGTCCAGGTCTAATGTAGGTGTGATCCAGGTCTGATGGGTGCATCTGATGTTGAATTGCCGCTGATGCAGGTCTGGTGCATGTGTGATCCAGGTCGGTGTGTTGCGGGTCTGGTGCAGGTGTGATCCAGGTCCGGTGCAGGTGTGATCTCCAGGCGTAAGATGTCCAGGTCTAATGCAGGTGTGTCCGATGCTCAATAGTATGAATGCATATGTGATGCAGGTCTGGGGTGTGTGTGTGTGTGTGTGTGTGTGTGTGTGTGTGTGTGATCCAAGTCTGGTGTGTGTTATGCAGGTGTGATCCACGTCTGGTCCAGGTCTAATCCAGGTGTGATCCAGGTCTAATGCAGGTGTGATCCAGGTCTGGTGTATGCGCAATTCAGCATCGAAAACCGACACACAGATGACAGGAGAGGAGACAGCAAATCGAGCATGCATCAAAAACTGATGGAAGCCTCATTTCTGATACAAGAGCTCGACAAACCTTCTGTACAATCTTCAAACCCCAGGTCTGGTGTATGTGTGATTCAGCATAAAAAACCGATGCACAGAAGACAGGAGAGGGCGCAGCAAAATCAAGCACGCATAAAAAACTGATGGAACCCTCGTTTAAACCATCGATAGCTGGGCCAAGTACTGGTGGTTTAAGATGCAAGAGCTCGACAAACCTTCGGTACAATCTTCAATAATGACGACACCCACATTGCTCAAGCCAGCATCCATTTCCAGGGGCTAGCAAGGCTTTCACCGGATGGTTGTAACAATCCAGCAAAGCATGTCGTCCGAACCGCAAAGATCCTGCATCGACAGCGGGCTTGTATGTTGCAGCAACCCAACAAAACACGGTGCCCACCGTCCAGGCAAGAATCTTCCCGTATCAGTACAACGATCCCACACGAATACAAACCACTCGATGATCTCCAAATTCCTGTTTTCCGCCCCCTTCCCCCCCCCCCCCTCCTTCCCGATACCTGTTTTAAAGACCAGGGGGGGGATGCATCACCCATGATCAAGCTCCGTATCCCAACATATCAAGTGCCAAGTGCCCACGTTCTGCCGCTCCACCCACACATGCGCTGACCCTACCCCGAACAGATGGGATTTCGAACACGTGTCAGGCAGGATCAGGATCAGGCATAGCTACTGTCTTCGCCTGAATAGCGTACCTAGCTAGGCTACCAGCCGGGCCGCCCGGGTCACCCTATTTCCCCGGACGGCCCGGCCGTGCAAGGACCAGGGAAGGTCCTAGCAAAAAAAAAAAAAAAAAAAAAACCGAAAAAAAAACTATGTTATGCAGAAAAATAAACTGAACAACTGTTGCCTCAGGGTCACATCGAAATTCTTTACCGTATTTGAAATGAAAAAATAAAGTCAAAAAATAATATTTATTTATTTATATTTTTTTGGCCCGCCCGGGCAAATGGCCCCGGGCCACTCTGGTAGCCTAGGTACCTAGTCAGTATAGCTGTGTTTGGTGCAACTTGCAGTCTCAATACAGCGATAATGACCAGGCGTTCTGTTCCGGTGAAGATGGTAGGGGAATAGCCGTCACCCTCGAAGCCAGCATTACCGATCCGGCCAAATGTGAACACGCCGTCGGCACCGCTCCTGCGACACGAACAACAAGCTCTGGCAAGCACGGGTGGCGCTACCGGCTCCACGGCGTAATCCCACATGACTCAGGTGCCTCATAATCCTTCTGGATATGTAGTCTGTCCTTCCAGCTCTATGTTTTTTCTTTTTTTAATTCGTATTATGTTGATATTATATCTGTATTTTTTGTGCTTTTTTTTTTTTTTTTTTTTTTTTT